TCCCCTTTTTTCTCCTCTCCCCTTTTTTCTCCTCTCCCCTTTTTTCTTTTCTCCCCTTCTTGCTCCCTTTCCTCTTTCTTTTTTTTTCCCCTTTCCTCCCTTTTTTTTCCCCTTCCCCCCCTTTTTTCCTTCATTTTTCCCTGAAGTCCACAGCTCCCTGTTCCCTGTGCTAAAGCCCCCTCACACTCCCTTGTTTTCCCTGTTTGTGCTCACACAGGAACTTGGATCAGGGAAATGATCTGGGTTAAATATAACTTTTATTTTTTCAAGGTTATATTTATAACCAGGATCTCCCTGAGTTCCCAGCAGGGCACAGGAACAGCAGGAATGAGGGAGCAGGAATGGAGAATTATTTCTACTTCTACCTCAGTTTTCCATTTGTAAAATAACAGCAGTGCCACGTGCTCATTTCAGGAGGTTTTGGACTTAATAGTATTTCCCTATTTTGAATAATCTGTGTTTCAGCTCTGCTAAAGATCTTTTAATATGAATTTCACCTTCATAAAAATGAACACACACAGTATTCACCTGCAAGTTCTCTTGCACCACAGGAGCCTGACCTCATCAGCAGTTCCTAGTGCTGGTCATGAGCCAAGCTGTATTTTTAACTTGAAGTCTAAATATTATTAATAAATCTGGTTTGGGAATTGTTAAATTTTAGTGGCTTTGCAAGGCCTTAATGTATTTTTTTAAATTGCAGGACAATGCACCTGATGGAAGGGGAGCTGCCCACTTCCATGTCAGGGAGCTGTGGGGCCAGCATCAATGGGAAGCTGTACATTTTTGGGGGATTTGATGATAAAGGATACAGCAATCGGGTATTGTATTCATTTTTTCCTATAACACTGAATTTGAGTGAGTAATAATGCTGACCTTGCTGTTTCTGTGGTGCACTTTGCATTTGAATTAAGGAGAAATTTGAGGGAAAACTTCGTTTTTGCAAAACTTTCTGTGCTCATTTCTGAGAACTGCCTGTGCTTTCCCAATGGCTTTTTTAAAAAATATTTTGACAACCATAAGTGAGACTAATGTCAGATTATTCACTTTTATTTTTGCTCTCTGATAGTGATTACCTTATATAATCAGGTAATAATTAAAGTTAAAACAGAGCTACCAGTTGTCCTTGTAACTGAAGACTGAATTAGCAGAGTAGATGAAATTAGTTGTTTTATCATTTAATGAGAATGAAGTCAGAGTTCACTCCTGACCAGAAAAGAAGTAAAATGGAGCCTCTCATCAGGCAGGAAAACTTGTTGCCAATTCTTACATTTTAACTGTGTTTTTGTGATGTATTTGCCTCTTCCTGTGTGTTGCTAAACTCCACTGCCAGTTGCTTCTTTTTTTAATCCAAAGTAGTGTATTTTGGGGGAGGTGGGTTGTTCTTTCTGTTGGTGGTTTCTGCTGGATTCTTTGATATCCTTTATACTGAAAACATTGTGCTTTTTTTTTTTTTCTTTTAAGCTCTATTATGTTAATTTGAGAACAAAAACCGGAACCTACAGATGGAAAAAAATCACAAATTTCAAAGGTCAACCTCCTACCCCACGTGACAAACTTTCCTGCTGGGTCTATAAGGACAGGTAACACATTAAAAATATTTAATATTTAATTGCAGAGAGGAAGGGCTGTAAAGTGAAGAGCACACAGGTTTGGGATTCAGGAAACTCTCATTCTTAGCTTGACTTGCTGTGGGATTTTGTGTAACAACCTCCTACCAGAGTTTTCTCACATAGGAGAATTAATGGTAAGTAAAAACCTACTTTAGGAGAGGGGTGGGAAGTTTAGGGGAAGTTTGTGGAATGCTTTGA